AGTTTCTAGTCGGTGTAAAGTATTTCTACGTAAATCCACAAGTGGTATGAAAGTCAACCAGTTTGGCAGTACCCAATGACTTACAGGTAGACGGGTCCAAGCCTTACGAAATGCCGAGAAAGCGCTTTCTCACAACAAAATAATTGATTCAATTACCCAGGGAGATATGTTAAAAAAATTCAATTTCTGGTTTTAAGCTCGGAAATGTTTTTAAAATATACATAACTCAATACGATTGTCTTTCGGTCTGTCTATCTCTATACATATATATATTCATTTATGGCATAAAACGAACTGCACAAACGACATAAGTCGTGCAAAATGTGATCGCATAAATAAAAAGCGATCATGTCACCCGCTTTGTCAATCGGTGTTGCTCCCTTAATGCTGTCAAAAATTAGACCATTCATCTATCTACGATAGGAATTTTATATATATTTCTTATTCTTTTATGCTATGCCATATATTGGCTGTTATTAAAGCTCACTTTCCATACAAAGGCAATAAATAAATAAATAAATAAATAAATAAAGGAAGAAGTAGTGAATCAATTTTATTAGAAATCACTTATACGGGGTGAGAGAGTGACAAGGGAAATAAGGCAAAGTTTTGAAATTGCATGAGCAAATATTCCGAGTTGTAGAGCAAAACGTAATGTCGTAACTAAGCTCAATATAGACTGGGTCACCCATTATCTCCCATATGTACATCTTCATTTATAGACGATGGGTGTCCGAAATTCGTTCTACGACGTCTACAACGTTTCTCAGTTGTTTTACTCAGCTTTCACACATAATATTAACGGTTTATATAAGATGAGATTTTTATGCTTGTTTTGTTTGTCTGTTTACATACATATAAATACTCATTAAGACATACAATGTGTTGTAGCAATTTAACAATTGAGGATAGTTGGTTATTTATTTAAATGGTTTGTTTGTTTGTTTTTTTCTTTTTTCTTTTTAATAGATTAAAGAGATTGTGTTTCGTGTGAAAGAAAGACAAATAAAAACAAAAACAAAAAAAATTAACTCTTTTTTTTTGCCAAGCAAAGTTACGATGTCACTAAAATCTTTTTAAAATTTTAATTTTAACTGACTCGAATTTTCCGCTTTTCGTTACATATTAACGTACATGTATGTAATATCAATAAACATAAAAATTTTTACATGTAAAAGGATGAACAGGCAAAAAAAAAAAAAAAAACAAAGAAAGAAAGAAAGAAAGACTGAAAACAGAAAAAGGAAAAGAGAAAGAAAACGAAAAGGAAAAGGAAAAGGGAAAGGGAAAGGGAAAAGCAAGAAACTTTAATCATAATAAAATTTGCCTGACAAACTCATTATTTGGTAGTATATGATAAACAAATTATTCTTCTACGCTAAGAAATGTGTTTTCGCAGTCATTTGTTTTTAGCAATTAAGATAATAAATAAATAACTCGTCAAGGATTTTATATTTTTTAATTACGTCTTCCTGTAAAATTCTTTATATGCCTCAAAATCGACCTCTTGTATGCAATGCCTTCCGAAAATTTCGGTACGCATTTTATTCGACTTTGGTTCTATATAGGATGCAAGTATCAGTTGGTTACAGGTTCTCGTTCAATGCAATACGCACGCACGTGTGAGGAGATGAATCCCAACTAGCAGCATTTAAGGGACAGTGCGAAAAAATGCAACTGAAGTGATGCAAATGATTAAATAGGCTGAGAGAGCAAGTCTCGAAATAATTGCAAAGTTGTTTGCGAGATTTCGGGCAAAAAATATTAGCATAGGTTCCTCCGTCTTCAGCAAGAGCAAAATGATCTTCAACTTGGAGATTATTCTCCAGATCTGTATTCTTCTAATTAACTTTATTGCAGATCGACGCAATCGTATTTACCATCAAAGATATGCGAAATGGGTTACCTCGCGGAACCACGAAACTTCTATCGCGAGGGCAATCACCCAAGTTACCCGAATGACAAAAGATCATCAACAATGACTTTGCCTACTCCGGTTATTAAGCTACTCGCACAAATATATATTTTCGAGAACTTATTTATAAACCCAATATATTGGCACGTGTACGAACAATTGTTTGAAGAAGACAAACAACCCTTCAATCGATTTCACTAAAGTGACATGTAAGTTATCTGAACGTGCGAGAATATCGTGCACCATTATTAGCCCTACGTTTCGCGGTAATATCTTGAACTTGAGCTTTTGCAAGTTATGAAAAATATAATACATCACTCAATAAGTTCACAAAAACTTTGTTTTCTATTCAAATTGTTGTTGCATTAGATATTTTCAAAAATAAGCTTTAGTTGACATCCTTTACTACATGCAAAGAATTATGTAATTCTCTCTCAAAAAAAAAAATTCAAACTCTAAACTCCTTACTTCTACTCATATCCGAATCTCCGTCAACTTTGTTAATTCAAAGCTAAACTAATAGCTCTTCGTGTGTATTGGTCAGATAATTTTAAAGAAATCGTCTGGATGTTCTTAGAAACTTTGCTTCATTTTTGAACGCAGATAAGATCCTTTATTATCTCTTAAGGATTGTCCCACTAACTACATAGACATTTACATATTCTGCAAGTGTTAGAAAGATTTTGCATAAGCGCCACTTGTACCAAAATTTTGTTCTTGTCAGTAAACCATATATTACCCTTACCACCGTATCAGAGATTTATCGATCGCAAAAACGCTGTCAAGTAACATATTTAAATCACAAACTAGTCTAAGTAATTTGGTTCGATAGGCGTCTATTGGCATTGGTTTAAAAGTTTGGAAATCCTTTTGTTTTTCATCTTCAGTCAGTGACGGAATATCTCCAGAAGCTGCATGGAGGTGTAATACGATAATGGTCAGAAAGGAGTCAGCAAAGAGGTAGGGCGGGTATAGATGCAGTCTTGTCTATGTGTGCCCTATTGGTAAGTGTTCTGCCTTTACCGTTCTGAGCACTCACTATATAGTTACGACCAAACCAAACTCAGCCGCAGATAAGATTCGAACCTGCGAACACTAAACTTGGTATCCCCGATTCTTACCTACTAGGATACTCGCGCGGATGTTAAATCTAATTAAAAAGTATTTATGAAAATATTTAACAGTTTTCATTAATTGTTTCTCGCTCTTGCGGTCGTGATCGGAACGGAAAGCCGTTTGGAGGGCATATTCCTTGCGACACACTTACGAAACTTGGCGTTTGTGTCAAGAAACATGTTAGGTAAGCATGGAGACATACTTTCCATAACAAAAATGTATATATATATATATATATATATATATATATAGCCGACATCAATATCTTACATGTATATCTTGCACACGTAAATATATATGTAGATATGTACATGCATGTATCAATATATGTGCAAATTAACACATCTCGAGCTTGAATATTACATATGAAATGATAAAATTAAAAGTATAAAAATTTTAAAATCCCAAAGTTTCTTTTAGCAATGTATTATTAAATTAAAAGAAATATTTTCGTTTTAAATTGTGATTTTTTTCTTATTCACAATATCTTAAAATTCAATTCAATTAGCATAACAAGTTTTTTAGACTTAAACCAGTTGTTCCCAACATTTTTTTTTTTTTTTTTTTTTTCTTTGCAATGATCTGATCATTCATCTTAAATATAAAATGCATGTAACAACATATGTAACAAAGCTTTGATTATTATTGTGTACACAAAAGCCTTGAATTGATCGGAGTTTAATTCTAATCTGAGGGATTTTTTATTAAATCAGCCTCCTATGGACTAGAGAAAGTTACAACAACACGCTGTATATAGTTCAAATTCACAGTTAAGGCTTATATACGTTTAGATATTTTGAATATTCGTAGTTTGTTCGTTCAACACTTTTTTGTTGTTCGTTCTTTGCATAGAGGAAAGATTGAAGACTCATATGAGAAGGAATTTTTTTATTTTAAATTAAAATTTCTCACAAAAAATTCTCTTCTTAACTTCAAATTTCTGAAGCCTAATTATGGTTTATATGATGGGATTGGTAGAGTGTACACAACATTTCTTATTTCTGATCTCTAAGAACTCTATAGCCCAAGGTTCAACTTAACTTTTATAAATCGTACTTCTCCGAAACCCTTTAATAAATTTAAAATAGTAAGCGTAACAGTAATAGTAACAGTAAGTAAGTAAATTTCAAGGGCGTTACAGTTCCATTTCATCTTAGCTATACTGAGTGCTCGCTCGGTAAATACATAAAGAATGTGTCGACTGCGCACACAAAACTATTTCTTTCTCTTTCCTCTCTTATATCTGACGGTCACAGTGTTACACTAATAGCGGATATCACCTGAGTGACTGATCATATTAAAACACAACAAAAATTCCAGGCCTTGATGACTTATTTTGTTACAATGTTTTTATAGTTCAAGTGCGTTAGTTGATCCAATGATCGAACAGAGAATAAAAAAGAGTATAAGGAGAAATACATGGGCCTTGAAGAATTACTGTCTGTGTGTATATGTTTTGCACTGATGGCAACATCATTAGATCGAATTAATTATATCGTCTAACTCTCAAAGGACTCAGATTCTTTGTAGATCTACTGGGATAGCAGCAGCAGAGTAGAGAGAGAATTCCTGTGTAACGTACTTTTACCATGAAAAACCGTAATATGGTACCGAATACCAAATATACACATCAATCAAATGGGAAAGAAGCGAAACATAAGAAGTACGTACAAGAAGCAAACGGGCCTTATTCTATGGCAGGGTATGGGCACTTGAAGTGCGTCTTCCTTCAAAACGATTCTTTCGATTCTTTTTATTCAAATTTCTTACTGTATTTTTAATATGTTATTCTGCAGAGAGATATGTAGTATTATCGTAGAGTAACTTTTTTTGCAGTTCTTGAGACGAACATTCGCCAGTTGCATAATAATCAAGATTTTCCAAAAAAATTCTACGTATTTCTCTAGATGCACGTGTACAGATTAAATATTTATTTATTTTTTTTCTTTGGGTTTATATTCGAATTTACCTTAATGGAGCCGTGGGCCGTAGGACGTCTTAAGTTGTTTAAGTGCTTCGCGAGAATGGGGTTCGTGTTGCCATCTTTTGATATTTTGCCAAATACTTTTAGTATTAGAAGGTTATGGACGTACGCGGGCATAGTGATTGATCGGTTGGAATGGGTTCCGTTCGAAATGGATTCTCACTAAATGGTTGCAAATACAAAATACATTTATAATCTGTTTCAATATTAATTATTCTATAAGCTTATTTTTGAGATTGTCACGTTGTTCTATTTCTTTAAACTTTAATGTTACGTTAATCTGAAGAATTTTGATTCAATTCGAAAGGATTTTGATCATTGCTTAATTGAGCGATTTCGATGTGTTTCAAAGTGCGCGACATATAAGAAATATTTTCTCAATATTGTTGGGTAATTATTTACCTTTCCAACGCAATCAAATTGATTAATTAATGTATTTTGTTGCTGCTGTTGTTGTTGTTGTTGTTGTTGTTGTTGTTGATTGTATTCTTACTAAGACGTATAAATGTAAAGTAAAGCGAAATTTATTACAGCTGTTATGAAATTTTGCATTGCAGAGATAATAGAGAATTTTGATTTCAAATGATCTCAGAGTGCACTATCAATTTCTGCTATTACAGTCGGGAAATTTATTATTATTATTTTTTTAATTATTATTATTATTATTATTATTATTATAAATTTAGCCAGAGAATAAAAATTCAAAGACTAAAGTCTTAAAGCACTAGCATCGAAGGTTTTCGGCTTTATTAACAACTCTACTGCAATTGAGATTTGAACCCGCGACCATTGAGTTGCTAGTCGAGACTCTTGGCTACTCGGCCACTCAGGCAGAAGTTAAGGGTCTGGAATGTCAAATGCTACTATAAATGATTTTTACGTTAAAATTTTGAATGCTTTCCACCATCGTAACCGAAGCCGGTTCATAGCAGTCGACTCGATCTTAATTTGAATATTGTACACACATACACAAGGCATCGACAGCGGGTCGATAATCGGCAGTTGTCGAATTTACTCTCGATATCTCAATATATTTATGAATCCTAATTGTACCAAGTATTCTTATAACGAATCATGTCACGATGTGCATCTCAGTCACCTATAAGAATCGTGAGAATGACTCACCAAAATAATTGCATTAAATTTATTATTCACGCAAGCTCCGCCCCAACACTCTCAATCATTCAGTAGACGTGCCCGATTCGTGGAATACGGTGACGGGAAAGAGAAAGGTGGGCGTTGTCTAGCGGGCGTGTGTCCAATTGTTAAGTGTTATGCCTTCAACGACTGGGCCCTCACTATAACTATGACCAAACTAAACCCGATCGCATTAAGATTAAAAGTTGCGAGCACTGGCTTTATAATCGCGATTTTTTCCTATTCGGTAACTTTATATGTATGTTCTTCTGAATATATATAAAGGATAGATATTTTGTCTAAATTTTGACTTTGAAAGTTATGCCAGCATAAGGAAGATATAGATATTGAAAAGTTCGCGTATTTCATACGAATACAAAACTTTTCTTGTTTTCGAATGATTTCAATATAAATATATTTGAATAGCCGAGCGAATACGGACTTTAAAGCGCCTCCAACCTAACGATCCCGATAACGAAAGCGATATTCTCTTTAGAGAGAAATTTTTCATTCGCTGTAACGGTAACAAATGTGTTTTATGAGAGCTCTTTTAAACACACATTAAGAACTCATGACCCAAACCTTTTTGGCTCTCATTAATTGCGAGGGACATGTGTTAACACGTTTATACATATATATATATACAAAGAAGAAATAATAATAATAAACTTACTTATAATTGTTATTAATCCACAATTTATGCTCGTTGAATATATATATAAAAAAAATAAATAAAAAAAAAAAAAACGAAGAAACATCAAGAACAACAAAATAAAGAAACATAAGAATGTGTGTTGGCTTGTGTTGTTTGCTAATTGTTGTGGTCGAGATTAATGAAAAAAATTTTGTAAACAACAACGATTAAGAAAACGGCACAATCATTATAGAACACAGAGAGCCATGCTGGATACACCGTTTGTTTGGTTTTATTTTTTTTTTTTTGCGAAAAAATTTTTTCAATTTCAATAAATGATTTCTGCGCACAATATGAAACACAAATGAAAATAACAACAAAAAAAAAAAAAATCAAAAACGACAATAAAAATCAAGTTTTACTTTCGAAAAAACAAGAAAAAATAAAATTTTTTTTTTCTTTTCATTAAATTAACATTAATTTTGTATAGAAGCACTGGGATCAATAGTGAGTATAGGGTATAGAGAGGATAAGCCATGTATAACATAAACCTCTCGCTCTCGCTTTTTTTCGTTTATTTTCTGAGCTTTTAATGCAAGCACTGATAATAAACCAAATCATTATATTTGCATACGAACACGTAAGTGTGTGTGTGTATGTATGTATGTGCGTATTTATCGATATACGAAATCTGCGTAAATCATGAATTCTTGATTGTATTCTAATTGTTGTTATTATTATTATTATTATTATTTATAATTTTCGTTATGTATACATATATATATATATTTAATTTTTATTTTTAAAATTTACTTTACGTTTAAATTTTTCCTTTTTTTTTCCTTTGTATTACTATTCGAAGCACTTTTTAATATTTTTGACATTTAACACTTGATTATAATTATTATTATTATGATTAACTTTTTCAATGCAGACAAGACAAGCGAAGAAAAAAAAAAAAATAAAATAAAAAAGAAGCGAAACGGGCGCTGATAACACAATTAATTATAACGTATTTTAAAGATTTATTTTAATAATTTTGCATATAAATATTTCATATAAATTTTTCATCTGAGCGAACGTTGTGTATAAATCGTTTTTTGTATAGTAAATTTTTTTTTTTTTTTGTGTCATTTTTCACGTTATACAAGAAAACAGCAACAAAAATTAAAAAAAACAAAAAACAAAAAAAAAAACAAATGAAATAAAATAAAACAAACGAGCAACGTAAATATTTTTTTTTCGTATTTAAATTAAAGTTTATTTTATTAATATTATTATAATTATTATTATTATTATTACTATTATTGTTTGGAGAGACAGGCGTACACACACACGATCGATGGATTAAGTCTTGTTTTCCTTTCTTCTTCTAAACGAATTCGAACGTATACGGATTTATTTCTTGTTTTAGTTTTGCTCGTGAGTTCTTCAGTCCGTTCAAAACGGTATCTCGCTATTGACTAAAATACTATAAAACAAAACCAACACATTTTTCCCATATGTTGACTTCTCTGTTATTTTGTATGTTATTATTGTTCTTGTTTGTTGTTGCTATTATTGTTGTTGTACATTTTATATAGTTGCTTCGGCGCCGTTGCATTTGTCATAATGATCATGGTGATGATCGTCGTTTTTATCGTTATCATTATTATGGATAGTGTATTAACTTAGCAGCAGCAGCAGCAGCAGCAGCAGCAGCAGCAACAGCAACCAACAAAACAGCACCAAGACCCTGTTCATAATAATGACGACGATGATGATCGTAATGCTTATGATCGTTTCATGTACTTCGTGCTTCTGCTCTTGGGTAAAATAATTTTTATGGAAGAAATTCATTCGCATTGTATATATAAATAAATGAAAGTCTGTTTTTCTGTTTTTTTTTTTTTTTTTTTTTTTTTTTTTTTTTTTTTTTTTTTTTTTTGTTTGTTTTCGCCCATCTCTGTAAGAGTAAACAAACAAATAAACAAATAAACAGACCAACAAACAAACTGACAAATAGACGGACAAATATATTATTACTATTTATTATCACGACTAACACAAAAAACTTGTAGTTTATTGTTCCTCTCTTTATAGCTTATGTTTTATGTATTTTTCTCTGTATATTTTCGTATATATATCGTTAGGTGTTACTAAGTAAAAGTTTCTTTTGTTAAATATTTTTATCTTATATGTGAATATGTAACCTACTGTTCCCATACTCTTTACTAAGATTCCATTAACTTCCTCCATATTTAAACATTTATATTTGTTTCTTTGGCTTTCCTATTAAATCGTACTGACCAAATTAAGCAGTGTACCTATAATTCGCTGTAATCCGCGCAGCTAGCGTAATAAAATGTGTTTTTTTTTTTTTTTTTTTTTTTTGTTATCTTCATTTACTTATTTATAATTTTTTTGCTTTCTGTAGAAGTCATGTATGGCTTAAAGAAAAGCAACCAACGTATAAGGTGTAGATCGTAAAATGATTACAAAGAGAAAGAGATCTCTGCAGCATTTCTTAGACAAAGACAAAAACATTATTGGTTTTTGGTTTTTGGAAAAGATCTTTAGCAACATGCTGCAGAAAGTGAATCGCAATAAAAACAAGTTTATTACATCGAAGATATGCAGCATAGATTGGTTACAGCAACAGCTTGCAAAAAAGTCATATTATAAATAAGTAAATACATACGTGTGTGTGTATTTTGGCCACGTTTAAGCAAAAACAAATAATAATGCATTTAAATGCATGCAATGTAAAACAAAAATGTAACAATGTATTATTTTGTGTTTTGTGTAAGCGAAACGTTCGCAAAAAATGTTGCTGCAACCAATTTATCCCTTTTTCATATGTTCGTTCGTATGTTCGTATGTGCATTTGAAGAGTGTTGAAAAATTTTTGTAAGTGAATAGTGTTAAAAAATCATTTTTCTATTCGAACGGAATCCGCCTGAACTTACAAACATAGTACGACTATTGTCACATTATCTCTCCGCGCATTTTTAATTAAAGTCGTAACTAAATTATCGCTTTGCACGCAAACAAAATTTTTGTGTGTGAATTTTGAAGACAGCAAACATTTCATTTTAACCACCTCTTTACGTTACGCTCCTATTATAATATTATTCCTTTACATATTTGACGCGCATGAAAACCATTCGAATAATGACATCAACAAAGGCAAAGAAAGAAGAACGACAAACAACTCACAAAAACAATGTTCCCATTAAATAAATTAATTCCTTTACCGCTTTTTTTTTTTTTTTCCTTTTCGTTTACACAACGACTGCATCTGAACCACTAATGTTAAGCAAGCAAATATTAAAATTTCACTAACAATAATAACGAAACGAGCGACTTTAAAAAAAGGTTTGAAAATGCACATAAACCTATCTGGTATGTTTGTTTGTTTGTTTGCCAACAAAGTAATAGAGTTCATACGGGCCGAAAATTTTAAAAATACAAAAAAATTCAAAAAAAAAAAAAAAAAAAAATATCGGAACAAGACATTGAAATATTATATTCAGTTAAGGAAAACGAGAACTTGCTCTCCTTACAAGGAAAAAAAAAATTACAATTTTTTTAACCAAACAATTTTTTGCCGCCTTCACCCAAAAGTCTGGTCTTTGCGATCCTCTGCTCACTCTTGAAATGTTTTTAAAAGAAAATTGGCCACGATCTCGAACACTTGAATTCGCGCGGATATCGACAGGT